TTTCTGCCCAGGATTCTCCTGTCTGGCTTCCTTCTTGTGTCCGTAATAGGCACCTCTGCCTTGCCGGGGCTCCAAACTTCGGTCAGAAGGGGAACCAGTCTCGTTTACTGTGCTCCGAGAGCTGCCGCGCCGAGGTGCCGGCGAAACCGCTGGGCTGGCCACAAAAGTCATGCTGGCGACCCGTGTGATTCCTCCACTGGGGATCTTCTGCTCCGTGAGTGACCAGAATTTGTCGGAAAGTGTGGCGTCCTCTAGTTCTCTGTGCTTCCACTGAGAGCTGCAATCCCAAGATGTTAGCGATCGGCCATCTTGGATCGTTCTCTCCAACTTTATTGTTTTTATACTCTACCTTTCAGAATATTTTAGAGGACTTTAGCCCAACCTCAGGTAAAATATGAATTGACATTTTATAGAATATGAATTAATGAAATTTCACTGACTGTGTGAAAATACAAATGAAACCCAGCTGGGTGTGGTGGCTAACGCCTATAATCCCAGCACTTTGGGAGGCCAAGGCAAACAGATCACTTGAGGTCAGGAGTTTGAGACCAGACTGGTCTCAAATATGGCAAAACCCTGTCTCTACTAAAAATACAAAGAAATTAGCCAGTCGTTGTGGCACGCACCTGTAATCATGAATTCAGAATATTACTCTTACTGCTTCCTCCTTAATTTCTTTTGTCTAATATGGGCTAGGCACTGTTTCATACTTATTTAAAATAACAACAAGGCTGGGCATGATGGCTCTCGCCTATAATCCCAGCACTGGGATTACCACTTGGCAGACCGGAGGTGGGCAGATCACCTGAGGTCAGGAGTTTAAGACCAGCCTGGCCAACATGGTAAAACCCCGTCTCTACTAAAAATTCAAAAATTACCCAGGTATGATAGTACATGCCTGTAGTCCCAGCTACTCAGGAGGCTGAGGCAGGAGAATCGCTTGAACCCAGGAAGCGGAGGTTGCAGTGAGCCAAGATTATGCCACTGTACTCCAGCGTGGGCAATAGAGACCACATCTCAAAAAAAAAGGAAAACCCTTATTTTGTAAACTTTTCTCATGACACAAGGATGGCAGAAATAATTATTCCCCATTTGCGGTGAGGACACTGGCGTCGTTAGTGAAAGAGCTGAGCCTTAAGCTAAATCTTCTGGCTCCGGATTATTCCTCTCACAGTGTTATCCTAGAACTTCATAGTTCTTAACTAGTGTCTGTCCAATCTGAAGAGCTTTTCTTTAGAACATTATTTTCCTCAGCTGTATTGGTTTGATTGAAATTGGCAAATCCCCTTCATTGATTCACATATATTAGTCAAACATCCACTTCCTGTCAGGCACTGTGCTGTTAGCCCTAGGAGATCTCTCACTAGAGTGGGTAATGTTTCAGTGGATAACCAAACCTCTGTGTATGTTGTCTTTACTACAGGTGGGTACCAATTTGGGAAAACTTGAACCGTCTTCTGGTTGCAGATCCCTGAATTTTTTTTTTTCATTTGTTTAAGAGTTTTGGGTAATACTTAAAAAAATATATATGACTCTAAGTTATGTAACATTTCCAATTTTTAATAGCATGTTTTCCTCTTACAGGATACTGATTTTCCACAAATCTAGTTGTGGCTATATTGAGTTGTGCAGCTCTAGGTGCTCCTCCTGGGCTGTATATCTGTCAGCTCATAAACATACACACACACACACACACACACATATATGCATATATCAGGTGCTCCTGAGGCACCTAACCCTGTGCTGAATAAGGAACCTGAAAGCTGGGTCTCAGCTTGAGGAGACACACAAGAATAGATCACTGTGTTACCATCTGTTAAGGACATTGGCTTGGGTTGAGAAGCTTTACCTCTGACTAGGTCTGTGACCATGGACAAGTGACCTAACTACTCTGAGCCTTTATGTAACATCCCAAGGGCTGCTGATGACGATACAGTAGTGTTTACTTAAAAGCAGGCCGTAATGATTAAATGAGATAATTCATGTAGAGGACTGAGCAGAGTGTTGCCTGTGTAACTTATAATGATAAGAGATATGACAAATGATCCCTAATTTTAACAACTGGGGAAAATCTGATTTTCTCTGGGTCAAAGTGTGTCTAACTTTAGATTTCCTCTCAGCTCATAAACATACACAGTTCTGATGTCTCATCAACTCTGCAGTCAAGGAACGATGCTCATTCAAAAAGGGAAGTTGTGACTCATTTACTCAGCACATTAACCAAGTACCTGCTGGTTGCATATCTCTATGAGGAATATTCAAAAACAATTTACCTTAAGTGAACTCAGAGAGAGAACTTAAAACGGAGGGGGATTAACATTTCATGAGCACTTAACTATGTGCCAGGCGCTATGCTAGTCCCTACTGTTTTATCTCTAATTCTTACAACTGTCTTGTGAGGAAGGTATTAGCCTCATTTTAGCAAATGAGAAAAACAAAGGCTCAGAGAGAAAATAACTTGTCTGGAGTCACAAAATAAGTGGCAGAGCTGAGATTCAAACTCAGCCATCACATTCCTCTGCGCCATGCCAGTTTTTAAGGAAAAAAGTTAAGGAACATTTTATGACAAAGGGCAGCCTCTTGGATGACCCTTAAAAGTTTGTGCCAGTGGTAGTACAAATCCCATTTCACTCTTTAAAAAAATTTTTTTTCTTTAAGAAACAAGGTCTCCTTCTGTCTCCTAGGTTGGAGTGCAGTGGTGCGATAATAGCTCCCTGCAGCCTTGAACTCCTGGGCTCAAGTGATTATCCTGTCTCAGCCTCCCAAGGAGCTAGAACTGCAGGCTAGCTACATGCTACCACGCCTGGCTAACTTTTAAATTTTTTGTGGTGATGGGGTCTCACTATATTGTTCGGGCTAGTCTCAAATTCTTGGCCTTAACTGTTCCTCCTGCCTTGGCCTCCCAAAGTGCTAGAATTACAGATGTGAGCCTCCACTCCTGGCCTCCATTTTGTCCTTTTTAAAAAATGAAACCTGATAATCTTTTAAAAATAATTGAAACTTAAAATCCAACAAATGAACAAAACATCCTTTTTATTTAAAAATAATGGAAGAGGCCAGCGCGGTGGCTTACACCTGTAATCCCAGTACTTTGGGAGGATAAGGTGGGCCGATCACCTGAGGTCAGGAGTTTGAGACCAGCCTGACCATCATGGTGAAACCCATCTCTACCAAAAATACCAAAAAAAAACTAGCTTGGTGTGGTGGCGGGCGCCTGTGATCCCAGTACTCAGGAGGCTGAGGCGGGAGGATTGCTTGAATCTGGGAGGCGGAGGTTTGCAGTAAGCCAAGATCACACCATTGCACTCCAACCAGGCGACAGAGTGAGATTCCATCTCAAAAAAAAAAAAATAGTGGATGAAAATGTGAAAAAGTAGAAATAGCTGACTCTAGAATCTCCACTCAAATATGTGTTATATCTGGGCACAGTGGCTCATGCCTATAATCCCAGCACTTTGAGAGGCTGAGGCGGGTGGATTGCTTGAGCCCAGGAGTTGGAGAGCAGCCTGGGCAGCATGATGAAACTACATCTCTACAACAACAACAACAAAAAACTAGCTGGGTATAGTGGCACACACCTATAATCCCAGCTGCTCGGGAGGCTAAGGTGGGAGGATTGCTTGAGCTCAGGAGGTGGAGCCTGCAGTGAGCCAAGATTGCACCATTGCACTCCAGCCTGGGTGCCTGAGCGCCTGAGCAAGACTTGTGTCTCAAAATATTTTTATGTGTGTGTTTGTGTGTGTGTATGTTTGGAAATTGTCCTGGGTCTGAGGCCTAGCAGAGTGTGTGGAACATAATCTTAGTAGCAAATTAGTGAATTTAAACTATCTTCCCAGGCTGCCAACATTACATTTCACATTTAACTTAACATATATTCTCAAATCTGGGCACGGTGGCTAGGCCTGTAATCCCAGCACTTGGGGAGGTTGAGGCGGATGGATCACCTGAAGTCAGGAGTTCTAGACCAACCTGGCCAACATGGTGAAACCTTGTCTCTACTAAAAATAAAAAAAGTAGCTGGGCGTGGTGGCAGGTACATGTAATCCTAGCTACTTGGGAGGCTGAGGCAGGAGAATCACTGGAACCTGGGAAGTAGAGGTTGCAGTGAGCCGAGATCACACCATTGCACTCCAGCCTGGGTGACAAGAGTGAAACTCCATCTCAAAAAAAAAAAACCAACATATATTCTCTTTTGAAAACATACATGTCATTGTCAAAGACATGGGGAAATAAATGTCGTATGTATTTTTCATAGGAATATAAATTGGTACATCCTTCCTGGAGGGTATTCAGCACTATCTCAAAGTTACAAATATAGATACTTTGACCCTGCAGTTCTACTTCTAGGATGTACTAATGATACAGTCAAGGAGTCTTGAAGGTAGAGAACACAGCTACTGGGTTCCAGGAATAGGGAGAGACTTTTCAGCCTATATCCTTTTGTTGTTGTACCTGTTGAATTTTGAGCCATATAAACATGTCACTTATTTTTTTAAAAATTCATAAAATTGTTAAAATTTCTGAGATGATGATTATTCTAAGGACCATTCACACTTGAGGTGTGAATGGTCCTTAATTCAGATTGCTTTCCTTTTTATCCTCTACTGAGATCCAAAGGGATGGGACCTTTCACATCTTTTATTTTGTAATTATTTATTTATTTTTGAGATGGGATCTCTCTGTGTTGACCAGGCTAGTCTTGAACTCCTGGCCTCAAGTGATCCTCCTGTCTTGGCCTCCCAAAGTGTTAGGATTACAGGCATGAGCCACCATGCTTGGCCTATTTTTTTCTGTATTAACACAGTACTGTACTAACACAGTACTCACTATGGAAAAGGTGGCAAGTACATGTAAGTATTTTTTAAAGCTTAAGAACTTTGTCCATAAGTCCACTGTCCAGAGAGTACTACAGCTAGTATTTTTGACCTCTTTTTTTGGGGTATCTTTTTAATCTACTGATAATCAAATAAATTCAGTTTTGTTTTTTTTTTCTCTTTCAGACAGGATCTCGCTCTGTTGCCCAGGCTGGAATACTGTGCCATGATCTCCTCTCACTGCAGCCTTGACTTTCTGGGCTCATGAGGTCCTTCCACCTCAACTCCAGAGTAGCTGGAACTACAGGTGCATGCCACCACACCCAGCTAATTTTTAAAATATTTTTTGTAGAGATAGGGTTTCATTCACTATGTTGCCCAAGCTGGTCTCAAAATCCTGGGCTCAAGCAGTCTGCCTGCCTCAGCCTCCCAAAGTTCTGGGAATACAGGCATGAGCCACCACACCTGGCCACTTATATGTTCAATTATGTATACAATTTTACATCCTGCTTTTTCCACTTAACATTATGTCATGTAATTGAAATGTCCATGTAAGCAAAATCTTTGTGAAAATATTATTTTTAATGGCTCTGGTAATCTATTATGTGAACATACCAGCTTACTTAACCAATTTACTTAACCAGGGAATGGGAGCTTAACTGATCTCTCCTGGGTGAAGAGAGAAAGAGACATTAAAATCACGGAGCCTTTTGGAAGGTTAGACAGATCTGGGTTAGGTACCCTAGAAGGGTATGTGAGCCAAGCAGGCCAGGGCTGAAGGACACTAAGAATCAAAGGCTTGTCTTTTGCCTCAGTCCCAGCTCTTACTACCTTACCATCCTTATATGTTCCCTGGGCTTCAGTTACACTGAACTCAGCACAGGGAACACACTTGTTCCTTGTGCTGTGTCTACGTCCTCCCTAGCATTCCTTGTCTTCAGGTACTATGTACACACTGCTGTCAGTTCCCAGTACAGTCAGTTGCCTTGTTGGTTTACTTGTCTGTGTCTCCCTTTAGACTGAAGAAACGTTTTATCTCTGTATCTTGAATGTCTGGCAGATAATAGGATCTTTAATTAATCTTTGAAGGTAGGAGTGACATTGAAAGAGTAGATAGGAAGATTAGAGGGAACCAGAGAAGAAGACCAGTGCAGCCCCAATGAAAAGAAGCCAATCCTTTCTCTGTTCTTCTGATCCTATATTTGAGGGTCAGATCTCTGGGCTAGCCTAGGGACCTACACACCACTTTGACTTTAAAATTTTAAAGCTGGTTTCTGTGTGTTCCAACTTCCAATAAACTTATTCAGAGTTCTTTTCATTCCAGCCTTCTATGAGTGTGATGTAGACATTCTTGGAATGCAGGTCCCATCTCTGCCTACATGTGGTCCAGCAGTAGTCTAATGAGCAGCACAGACAGGCTCAGGCATGCCAGAGTTCCTGGCAGAAAGCTTCCGTGTGAATAAGCATATGTCCACAGAGACAAGACCTCTGTTGGGATTGTGCCAGTTATTTATCACCCAAATTCATAATCTTGATAACTAAGATTAATGTTTCTAGGTGCCTCACTACACCCTGGTCTAGAAATTCTTGGAGTTAAAGGAGCAGAGAAGGCAGATTATTAATTCCTACAGTTCTCTAGAACCTTATAATTGAATGTAAGAATGCTACAGAGAGATTCCCTCATGAGATCAAGTTCTCTGGTGGTTCCAGCCGGGATATTCAACTCTTGTGTTCTCTTTCTTGCTCAGTTCCTATGAGGTGGGCCAGGGCAAGTGGACCAAAGGCCAACTCTGGGAAGGTAATAGTATTGAAGATACTGGGTCAGTCAACTTCAGCCACCACGCTCTGTGTTCCTACAGAATCATTAAGTGCTGCAAATCTGCCTTAGTCCCAGCACCACATGTGTCGCCCTGGACATCTCAAAGTTAGGACTGTTCTTCAAAACTAGGTGTGAACTTATTTCTTAAAATTATCAGCTGTGTTCCAGCTGGACAAAGTGCTGATTGATCTGAATTCAGCACATTTGTCCTTTACCCCCAAGTTTATTTGACCTCTCTGTAGTCCCTCTGGATTGTAGCTGGATTGGCACTAAGGTTTCTGTCCTTGTAGAATACTGTATCGTGTTGGTATTGCTTTGTGCTATTGATAGAGCTGTACCCTCTTCTAGATCTGGGTTTCCAAAACTCTGTTAATTAGAGAATCATCGAGGGTAGAAAGTGAGGGCTACATTAAAAACATACAGATCCTTCAGCCTGATTTAGGTCCAGATCCTATTTAAATCTCTGAAGGGAACTGGGAACCAGATCTTTGGAGGAGTGGGAGGATGCTTTGTTTAAGAAAAACAGGCAAGGCCAGGCACAGTGGCTCACGCCTGTAATCCTAGCACTGTGGGAGGCCAAGGTGGGCAGATTGCCTGAGCCCAGGAGTTCAAGACCTGCCTGGGCAACATGGTGAAACCTCATCTCTACTAAAATACAAAAAAATTGCCATGAGTGACAGCATGCGCCTGGTAGTCCCAGGTACTCAGGAGGCTGAAGCAGGAGAATTGCTTGAACCCGGGAGGTGGAGGTTGCAGTGAGCCAAGATTGCTCTTTTGTACTCCAGCCTGGGTGACAGTGAGACTCCATCTCCAAAAAAAAGAAAAACAGGCAAAAGCAACAATAAAAAACAGGTGAGTTTGATGGAGCCCCTTGTTTAGAATTCCTAAAATTAATCTACATGCCTTTAGCTCCTATACTAGACTCCAAGGCCTCAACTTGGTTTTGTTCTTCTTTGTAACTCCTCCACAGTTGGTAGCACCAGACCTCAAATGTGATTGGCACTGGAAAACTGTTGGTTGAATGAATAAATGGATGAGTGATTAATTGATAAACTCATTTCAAAGAGCATAAAAGTTACAATATTACACAATAAATTTGAGGGAAGACAAAGACCAGGTATTTAATTTTGTAAAGCAGCATGTTAATAGGGTAACGTAAGAGTGAGAAGAGGCTAGACGCAGTGGCTCACGCCTATAATTCCAGCACTTTGGGAAGCAGGCAGATCACGAGGTCACGAGATCGAGACCAGCCTGACTAACATGTTGAAACCCCGTCTCTACTAAAAATACAAAAATTAGTTGGGTGTTGGGGCAGGTGCCTGTAATCCTAGCTACTTGGGAGGCTAAGGCAAGAGAATCACTTGAACCCAGGAGACGAAGGTTCCAGTGAGCCGAGATTATGCCATTACACTCCAGCCTGAGTGACAGAAGGAGACTCTATCTTTAAAAAAAAAAAAAAGGAGTGAAAAGAGTGCTCATGTTGTGTCACAAAGTCTGAATTTGGCGCTGTATGGTGTCCTGGCCTTAGGCAGTCCTCTAATGTCCCTGGCCCAGTATGTTCATCTGTAAAATGGCATGAGGATAAAATGCAGTGATAGATGTGAAATGCTTTGAAAACTAGAGAGTGAATTCTGGTCAGGAGAAAAGAATGGTCAGGGTAAGGTCAGGCACAGAACTAGCCACAACAGGGTTTCTCTGTGGTCAGGTCAAAGTCTGTAGCTTCTACAGGGACCGTGAGAAATTTTAGCAGGATGGCAATATAGGTATACTCAGGACCTGATTCTCTTTCTGCCTGGTTCCTGAGCCGATCAGGAACCTCTATCCTTTGGGCCACTGTCCCAGTCCTGGTAGGCTCATATGGTTCTGTAGGCGCTCAGTAGACAATCCCTAAGGGAAACTGCTCATTTCTGCCATGCCACCTTGGTGTGCTGAGGTTCCTGTGCACAGGGGTAGGAGAAGTGAGGAGAGGTGGCTCCAGGGATGAGAATGCAGCTCTGAGGCCCAGAATATGTTACAAAGAAAAGTTGGTGATCAGCCAGCCTGGTAGTTGACCAAAATCAGTCATGCGTGGCTTTACTCATTTAGCAAATATTTGAGTGCCTATTAGGATGAGGGTGGAGACCACATGTCTACTAAGAATTACAAGGAGAGTGATAAGGTCCGCCTACAGTTGGGACATGCAGGCCTGTCTCAGTGCCTGGCCTGGCACAAGGCTGTCACTCCCTGCAAACTCTGAGCTGACCTGTTACTGCCCCTTAACCATTCCTATTCCAACACCTGCCTTGATCCTGGTTATCCCCTTATACCTATGTGTAGGAGTATGGGCTATGTACCACCTTATTGGGTCCAGGAAGTGGGGTGGCAGTGGACCGGGGTAAATGGTATGAAATGTGTGTCTCCCCAACAGCAACAGCCCTGTCCTGCCTTGGTGGGTCCTCCAGGTCACTGTATTATTTCACAGGGCCATCTCAGCCCTGTAGGAGCCCATGAAACTCTCACTTTTCAGGTGAGAAAAGAGATGCAAATCATCAAGGGATCTACTGTGGCCATATGGACAGTCAGTGATGGAATCAGAACTTGAACTCAGAACTTTCAGGATTGAGGAAAACTGGAACATGAGGGTAAAATTTTTATATACTATTATTCTTTTGACTGAGTGCAAAAGTACTATATGTAAAGGCCGGTTGTGGTGGCTCATGCCTGCAATCCCAGCACTTTTTTTGGGAGGCTGAGATGGGCAGATCACCTGAGGTCAGGAGTTCAAGATCAGCCTGGCCAACATGACAAAACCCCATCTCTACTAAAAAATACAAAAATCAGCTGGGCATGGTGGTGGGTGCCTATAATCCTAGCTACTCAGGAGGCTGAGGCAGGGAGAATTGCTTGAACCTGGGAGGTGGAGGTTGCAGTGAGCCCAGATTGCACCACTGCATTCTAGCTTGGGCGACAGAGTGAGACTCCATCTCAAAAAAGAAAGAAAAAAAGTAATACTTGTAAAAATATCGGTTTTTTAAACTTGGAGGACTTAGAAAGTATAAGTCATAACCTTTGCCTCCTGGGTTCAAGTGATTCTCATGCCTCAGCCTCTCAAGTAGCTGGGATTACAGGCACATGCCACCACACCCTGCTAATTTTTTTATTTTTAGTAGAGATAGGGTTTCATCATTTTGCCCAGGTTGGTCTTGAACTTCTGACCTCAGGTGATCCACCTGCCTCGGCCTCCCAAACTGCAGGGATTACAGGGTGAGCCACCACGCCTGGCTGGTAATTCATTTTAGATACTTGATTTAGTGTTTGAATTTTAAGGCAAACATTCTTCATTGGTGGTGCTGTGTACTTCTGTTGCATCATGTCAGGAGGCTGATGTGACTGATACGACTTTATGGTTGTCTTTCCAAAATCTATATACATAATTCTTAATTTTTAAAGATTTTTTTAAAAAAAAACAAACACATAGGTTGGGTACTTAGGATTGTTGAGCTGGAATAATGAGGAAAGACAGTAATGTGGCCCTCAAAAGTGGGCTTTACCCTAAGACGAAGAGAGCACCTGTAATATGTAGAGGAGGAACGTCAGGGAGAAGGTCTTAGAGCCAAGGCCAGTGCTGCCAGCAGCCAGCTACCCTTCTGGGACATTATGTAAAATGATGTAACTGAGTGAAAATGTGGTGGTGAACCAGCCTTCTCTCCCTGCTCAAGTCACTAAGCTGAATCGTGGTGAGGGATGCTCATGAGGCTGGAACTCTCAGTCCACCATATAAAGGAAGGACACTTTCTGGGTCTGAGAAGGCTGTAACTTTTTGGTCCTTGTCTTCTTATACTCTGGAAGCTGACATCAGGACGACCTTCTGGTGTTCCAGTGGTAAGTCCTAAATTTGTGAAGGGGTCACCTGTTTTGGAGATACTAGTAGGTTAAGATGACCTGGAGAGGCATAGTCTAAGAGCTGGAAGGGGCCAGCCAGGACACTGGGGAGTTCAGTGCCTCATTTTACAGATGAGAAAATCATGATCAGTAGAGGGGAAGGGAGGTTCCCAAAACCAGCTAGCAAGCTAGAGGCTGAGTCCAGCATCCAGGCCTCCAGTTCTCTGACTGTGGTAGCCAGCCAATATTTCCTACTTGAAATTTCTGAGATGATGAGGATGGCCAGATAAGGCTCCTGACAGATTCTTAATTTCCATCCAGAATTTCTGGGTATCCCTTGGTGCTGGTTTTGTCCTCTCTTGTTCAGCTCCTCTTTCTTGTTCAACCCATTCTTTGACTTGAAGGTGATAGTCAACAGTGGTCTGTTTGTACCAACATTTAGTGGCCAGTTTAGTATGTAGTGGTACAGTAGTTTGGATACAAACCGAGTGTCGTGAGTCCCAGTCTCAGCCTCACATTAGTCAGCTAGCCTAAGTAACTTGCAGTTTCCTAAAGAAACTGGACCAGATCAAGATTGCCCAAAACATAGTATCAGTGTGCCTCATGATTTCATGGTATGAGAGTAAACAACTTTTCCTTCATTACATTTATATTAATCTTTTAACTTGTGGAAAGTATTACTGGCTCTCCATTTACAGCAGTGACAAAACCTCTTCTTAAAACATGCTGAGGCTACTAAGTTGATATATTTAGATAAAATAAGGTAAGTAGTATTCCAGTGTGGCATAAGAGGGAATGAAAAAGACTGCAGTATGGAAGGCCTTGGACCAGATGATCTTTCTGGTCCTTCTTAGCTTCCTAACCTTTCATTAGTTACAGGAATTTCTTAATATTCTGGTATATAGGTCAGGCGCAGTGGCTTACACCTATAATCCCAGCACTTTGGGAGGCTGAGGCAGGTGGATCACCCGAGGTCAGGAATTCAAAACCACCCGGGCCAACATGGTGAAACCCCGTCCCTACTAAAATACAAAAATTAGCCAAGTGTGGTGGTGGGCACCTGTAATCTCAGCTACTTGGGAGGCTGAGGCAGGAGAATCGCTTGAACCCAGGAGGCAGAGGTTGCAGTGAGCTGAAATTATGCCACTGCACTCCAGCCTGGGTGACAAAGTGAGATCCCGCCTCCAAAAAAAAATAATTCTGGCATATGCCAGTCACAACCTTCCTGCCTTAGCAGATTTACCTGCCAATGTAGAGCCTGTCCATTAGAGGACAGCCTGAATATTCCATTTAATTAAGCATATATTTATCACCTGGGTTCATTATTGTAGGAGAATCTAAAGAGGAGTGAGACAAGGTCCTGGTTCCTGTGGCGAACCATCTGGAGGCTGCTCTGTATTTGTGGAGTTTGTGTATCTGTGTGATATATTCTGGACCATGTTCATGAGAAATTTCTGGATCACTGCCCTCTGGGTAGAGCCCTACAACTCTTGTCTTCTGCAGCTCTTTGGGAAGTCTGCTTAGGGGTTCAGTTATAATCAGCTCTGGAGCTGAGAGAAGACAGGAATGTTGGCATGGAAGCTTGGGGGAGAGGGCTGCAGAAATGGGCAGTCAAGAGTTCTCTGCCTTTTAGGATTTCCCTGAAGAGAGTCTTCACTCAGAGCTTCGCTGACAGCCAAGAATGGCAAGCAAGGGGCCCTCGGCCTCTGCCTCCCCTGAGAACTCCAGTGCAGGGGGGCCCAGTGGGAGCAGCAATGGCACTGGCGAGAGCGGAGGGCAGGACAGCACCTTCGAGTGCAACATCTGCTTGGACACAGCCAAGGATGCCGTCATCAGCCTCTGTGGTCACCTCTTCTGGTCAGTACCCCTGCTGCCACCCCAGAAAACACATTGCCAAGTTTGGAAAGCCTGTGGCCCTGGAGAGTTTGGAGCAGGATGCTTCCTGCTCACTTTGGGAATACACTCAGGCTCAAGGGACAAGAGACCTTAGTTCCCATCCCAGCTCTGCTACCAATGAGCTGGGTGACCTTGGGCAAATCCTGTCTCCACTCTGAGCTCCTTCTCCCCATCTCTAAATTAATAATATTTACCATTTAGTGAGCCCTTACTACCTGCTACTTGATATGCTGAGCCTAGAGGCAGTATAGCATAATGGTTCTGAGCAAGGACTGTGGAACTGGACTTCCTCCTAAAGCTTGACTCTGCCACCTTCCTATTTGACCTTGGGCAAGGTGCTTACACACATTCTGTCTCATTTTAGAGGTCTGTTTGCACGTATTAAGTGACTCGAAATATGTAAAAGGCTTAGAAGAGCACATAGCTTGCAGTAAATACTATGTGTTATCTATGACTATAATTGTTTCTATATTTTATGTTTATATATAGATATATACACACATCAAAATGAAGTGTCAAGGTCAGTGTCTGCTCTAGCCTTGATGGTTACAGGAGCCCTTTCTGGCTCTGAGAACCTAGGTGAATGTTGATTTTTTTTTTTTTTTGAAACAGCGTCTAGCTCTGTCACCCAGGCTGGAGTGCAGTGGCATGATCTTGGCTCATTACAACCTCCATTTCCCAGGTTCAAGCAATTCTTCTGCCTCAGCCTCCCGAGTAGCTGAGACTACATGTGGCTGCCACCACACCTGGCTAATTTTTGTATTTTTAGTAGAGCTGTGGTTTCACCATACTGGCCAGACTGGTCTCCAACTCCTGACCTTGTGATCTGCCCACCTCTGCCTCCCAAAGTGCTGGGATTACAGCCTAGAGCTACTAAGCCCAGCCGATTTTTGTTTTTTTTTTTTGTCTTGAGGTTTTGAGCTGAACCTTGAAGGGTCCATCAAAAAATGCTAGGTAAGGTGAAGGGTGTGTGTGTCACCCCAAGACAGGCAGTTTCTGGGGACAGGCACATGCACTGTTGGACTCATCTGAGACCCTTGAAGCTGCTGTATACCTCTTACAGCACTCTGGATGAGGACCTGGGAGTGTTAGGAAAAAGAATGGTTATGGGAGCATTGGGCCAGATTATCAAACCCAGATTCGACTAAAAGGACATAGAGATAATGAGTTTTTTTGCGCAAATAAATCATGTGAAGAAAAGGCCATTTAAACAATATTTAAGAGATTTTAAGTTGGCAACAGCATAAAACATCAATTTATTGGTGAATAAATAGAATGGGACAGAGATTTTTATTCTTGAGGCTCTTGACCTAATTATTGTTCTGTGTAAAAACTGTTGTGATCCATGCCCTCCTAGAAATTCAGGATACTTCAGGGTGTCATAAAACCAGGACTTGAATTGATTGACAAAATTGAGAATTAAAGGACAGGCTGCTCCTGATTTGATTATATGAATGTATCAAATTATCGCACATAACATAAAAAATATGTACAGCTGTTATGCCTGGGCTCAGTGGCTCACACCTGTAATCCCAACACTTTGAGAAGCCTAGGTAGGAGGATCGCTTGAGCCCAGGAGTGCAAGATGAGTCTGGGCAACATAGTGAGGCTCCACCTTTATAAAAAAATTTAAAAACCAGTCAGGCATGGTGGCAGTACCTGTAGTCCTAGCTACTTGGGAGACTGAGATGGGAGGAAGGCTTGCGCCCAGGAATTCAAGGCTACAGTGAGCTGTGATTCTATCACTGCACTCCAGCCTAGGCAATAGAGACCCTGTCTCTTAAAAATATATGTATATTCTGGCTGGGCGCAGCAGCTCGTGCCTGTAATCTCAGCCCTTTGGGAGGCTGAGGCGGGAGGATCACTTGAGGTTAAGAGTTGACCAGCCTGGCCAACATAGCAAAACCCCATCTCTACTAAAAATAAAAAATTAGCTGGGTGTGGTGGCATGTGCCTGTAATCCCAGCTATTCGGGAAGCCGAGACAGGAGAATATCTTGGAGCCGGGGGACAGAGGTTACAGTGAGCCAAGATCAAGCCACTGCATTCCAGGATGGGAGATAGTGTGAGACTCCATCTCAAAAAAAAAAAAAAAAACTTTGTGTGTGTGTAATATATATGTATTTATTAAATTTTAAAATGTATAATTATGTATTAATTATATATATTAAGTATATATATTTAAATATGTACAGCTATTGTGTATCTTTTTGTGTGTGTGTGTAGACAGTCTTGCTCTGTTGCCCAGGTGGGAGTGCAGTGGCACAGTATCAGCTCACTTGGCAACCTCTGCGTCCCAGGTTCAAGCGATTCTCCTGCCTCAGCCTCCCTAGTAGCTGGGACTACAGGCATTCACCACACCTGTCTAAATATTTTTTTGTATTTTTAGTAGAGATGAGGTTTTGTCATGTTGGCCAGGCGAGTCTCAAACTCCTCACCTCAAGTGATCTGCCCTCCCCAGCCTCCCAAAGTGCTAGGATTACAGACATGAGCCACCATGCCCAGCCCTGTGTCAATTTTCTTTTTAAGGCAGAACACCATTGGAAAGAACACAGACTCTAAAATGAAACAGTTGCTTCACATCTGGATGTTGTGTCCCTGGGCAAATCTCCTAGCTTCCTTGTACTTTGGTTTCCTCAACCGTAAGATGGAAATAATGGCACTGCCTCATAGGTTAATGTGACCATCCAGTGACATTAAGAAATGAGCTATTCAGCTACAGCCCAGCACACAATACAGTCATGCAGCACATAACAACATTTTGGTCAATGATGGACTACATAAACAACAGCAGTCCCATAAGATTATGATGGACCTGAAATATTCCTATATTCTAGTGATGTCATACTATCATAGAGCAGTGCATTACTTTTTTTGTGTTAGGTATGTTGGATTTTGCGTGTGTGCGTGTTTGTTTTTTTTTTTTGAGACAGAGCTCTGTTGCCCAGGCTGGAGTCCAGTGGCATGATCTTGGCTCACTGCAACCTCTGCCTCCCAGGTTCAAGTGATTATCCTGCCTCAGCCTCCCAAGAAGCTGAGATTATACACACATGCCATCACACCTGACTAATTTTTGAATTTTTAGTAGAGATGGGGTTTCATAATGTTGGCCAGGCTGGTCTCAAACTCCTAACCTCAGGTGATCCACCTGCCTCAACCTCCCAAAGTGCTGGGATTATACATGTGAGCCACCATGCCCAGCCTGGTTTTTGTTTTCTTTGAGATGGAGTCTCACTGCATCACGCATGCTGGAGTGCAGTGGCACTCCAGATCGAGTAGCACGATCTCAGCTCACTGCAACCTCTGCCTCCCAGGTTCAAGTTATTCTCATGTTTCAGCCTCCCATATAGCTGTGATTACAGGCATGTGCCTCCACACCTGGCTAGTTTTTGTATTTTTAGTAGAGACAGGGTTTCACCATGTTGGCCAGGCTGGTCTCAAACTCCTGACCTCAAATAATCTGCCTGCCTCAGCCACCCAAAGTGCTGGGATTACAGGCGTGAGCCACTGCACCTTGCCTCTATATGTTAGTTATGTTTAAATACACAAATACTTACCCCTTTGTTACAGTTGCCTATGATATTTACATGCTATTCAGGTTTGTAGCTTAGGAGCAATAGGCTATACTAGTAGTAAACTATTCTAGGTTTGTGTAAGTATACTCTGTGATGCTCACACAATGATGAAATTGCCTAATGACACATTTCTCAGAACTATTCCTGTTGTTCAGTGTGTCTGTCATTGCTTAATAAATGGGAGGAATGGTCATTGTTATAAATCCTGAACTTTCCCCTGAGGGTCATTCATTCACCTCCACTTCTCCCCTGTAGCCTTTAAGGGAACTTGCCAGTGGAGATCTGTCATGATTTGGGGTGTTCTCCACTCAGTTTAGAATGATTTTGTAGGGTTAATGTTGGAGTCAGATGTGATGTCTAGGAAGATTGTGTATCTGGTTTGTGAAGGTAAACTGTGGTTCAGGAATTGGAAAAGGAACTATCCTTTGCGTTCAGAGTGTACTCAGCTAAAGATACTTGGTATGTGAGGTACAGAAGCCATGTCTGCATTTTTCACTGTCCTGGCACGCAGTAGATGCACAGTAGATATTTTTTGACTAAATAAATGAAAGAAATAAATAAAAAATGTGGGCCAGGTGCCGTGGCTCACACCTGTAATCCCAGCACTTTGGGAGGCCAAGGCAGGCAGATCATCTAAGGTCAGGAGTTTGAGACCAACCTGGCTACCATAGTGAAATCCCATTTTTACTAAAAATACAAAAGATTGTCCAGGCATGGTAGTGCATGCCTGTAATCCCAGCTACTCAGGAGGCTGAGGCAAGAGAATCGCTTGAACCCGGGAGGTGGAACTTGCAGTGAGCCAAGATTGTGCCACTGCACCCCAGCTTGGGCAACAAGAGCAAAACTCTGTCTCAAAAAAAAAATTGTTTTTGAAGAAATTTAAAATATAGAATTGAATTGTTTTCTTTCAGTTCTGTAAATATTTTTTTAATGCAATGTTAGATTATAGAAAGGGCAGTGAATTAGAACTCAGGAGACTTTTTTTATTAAATTCTGATGCAATTCATTTTATGTTTGAGCTTAGGTTTCCTCATTTGAAAATGGAGAGATTGGACATCAGCTCTCTAAGTTAAAAGTAGTCCTTTCTGTCAAGTAGCATTCCCATACTTTTCATTACTTAAAGATGCTTTTAGAGTAGATGTGAACTTTTAAGCTGCTTCCTGCTAGGAGAATTCTCAAGGATGAAGACAGCCTGAAGATTTTGTTAAACTTCTATGAACTACCTGAGAGTCCACACATCCCACACACAGAGCCTGAGGAGACTATGAACCCACTGAAATTGAGTGTAAAATACTGTGTGGTACATGTGAATGTGCATGCCCCCATCAGTTTTTTCACATAGGGGGTTCTGAGCTGTTATTGGATTCCTTCAAATGCTATAATCCTCACAGGTTGATTTGCAGAGAAGCTGGGTCTATGTGATCTGAGCCCTGAGGATTTCACATACACCGAGATCCCAAAGGCAGAGACTGGGGTCTTATCTCCACTGCGTCATTTTTTTCTGTGATTTTAGCCCAGTGTTTTCTAATTTCCAATACCAGTAATCCCTACAGAACCTCAGTGGAGATGCAGTGCTTCATAGTTTTCTCCTGTTTTCTTGTTCTGCTACTACAACCCTACCTATCAAGTGTTTCTGCTAATGAAAGCATTTTTCTTCCTTTCCCCCTTTCTCCTTCTTGATGACTGGTTGCCCTGGGGACTCTGGCAGTTGGCCGTGTTTACATCAGGTAAGGTGCATCTCATTTTACTTTGTCTTTCATCAGCTGTGGTTGCACAAGACAGCTCTCATCTCAGGAGACTGCTGTCAGAAGCTGCAATCTGCCCTGCTTATAGACTCATTTGCTTACTTACCCCTCTTCTTTACATACCTGCCCACTGACAGGTGCTTGATGAAGTCGGGATGGTCCTACCTCTGCCATAGATGGCCTTTATGGGTCTCAGTTACTCATTTATAAATTGGGGTGGATTGATCGTATGTTAGGTCCTTTTTATTTTTGAGATTCTGCTTCTACTAAAACAGTACCTCCTATTATATCACAGTCTCCGAGCCCTTAAAGGTTTTGAAAATATTAGGAAGGGTAAAACTTTTTTGGTATCAACAAAGAGCTTTTATGAGGAGGGAAAAGTCTGTTTCCCTGCTTTAGCACCTGCTTGGTGAGACAGAGCTGGGCCTGGCATTCACAAGTGGCTGTGAATAATCACAGTCAGCTGAATGTCTCCAAGGTTGTAGAGTACCACACTTGTTGGTGGCCTGGGAATATAGGGGAAGATAGAAGTTCCAGACTGCTAAAGCCTCAGAATCTGGATGGGAGAAAGAAGGTGGGGACAGGGCTGGACATTCTGTCCCCAGCAGGACCTGGTAGAACATATTGACTGTGAGTTTTTGAAGAACACATAACACATAAGTTTTGGAGCTGTGAACAGTAAAAGTAGAAAATGAAATCATTCAATGCTGCTGTCTCCTCAGCCCTGAAGTCCTAGATTCTTGTTTATAGAATGTCGATAAAAACACATGTTTTGGCCAGACATGGTGTCTCACGCCTGTAATCCTAGCACTTAGAGAGGCCAAGGCAGGTGGGTCACTTGAGGCAGGGAGTTTGAGAACAGCCTAGCCAACATGGCAAAACCCCATCTCTACAAAAAATGCAGAAATTAGCCAGGCGTATTGGTGCTCTCTTGTAATCCCAGCTACTTAGGAGGCTGAGGCACAAGAATTGCTTGAACTTGTGAGGCAGAGGTTGCAGTGAGCCAAGATTGTGCCACTGGACTCCAACCTGGGCGACAGAGCAAGACTTTGTCTCAAAAGAAAACAAAAAAAAAAAAAAAGAAAGAAAAGAAAACACATTTTTATCACCTTAAATTTTTTTTTTTTTTTAGATGGAGTCTTACTCTTGCCGAGGCTGGAGTGCAATGGCGAGATCTTGGCTCACTGGAATCTCTGCCTCCCAGGTTCAAGTGATTCTTCTGCCTCAGTTTACCGAGTAGCTGGGATTACAGGCACATGCCACCATGCCCGGCTAATTTTTTTTTTTTGGATTTTTAGTAGAGACGGAGTTTCACCATGTTGTCCAGGCTGGTCTTGAATTCCTGACTTCAGGTAATCCACCTACCTCAGTCTCCAGAGTGCTGAGATTATAGGCGTGAGCCACCACACCTGGCTGAAACAAAAATTTTTAAACAGTGAAAGGACCTGAGAAACTCAAAACAGGATTTTTTTATATTGAAAGAAATAGTTGAATGCAAAAAAATCAATGAAAGTACATAAAAAGCATTAAGCAAATTTAGATAATGAGCAAATCCTATCCTTTAGCACATGGTAGTCACCAGAAAATGATAAGCTTATCTCCTGATTCTGATGCCTGGGCTACACAGTTGTTGGGGAAATGCTATAAAAATGAGAAATCGGCCAGGTGCAGTGGCTCACACCTCTAATCTCAGCACTTTGGGAGGCCGAGGCAGGTGGATCATAAGGTCAGGAGTTCGAAAACAGCCTGGGCAACATGGTGAAACCCCATCTCTACTAAAAATAAAAAAATTATCCAGGCACAGTGGTGAACACCTGTAATCCCAGCTACTCAGGAGGCTGAGGCAGGAGAATTGCTTGAACCTGGGAGGTGGAGGTTGCAGTGAGCTTAGATGGTGCCACTGCACTCCTGCCTGGGTGACAGAGCAAGAATCCTTCTGGGGGGGGAAAAAAATTATAGAAAGAAAAATGTTACTGACAGGAAAATACAGTTGTTACTACTGGGAAGATAGGGATTTAAAGTTTGTTGTACTCATACCAGCAGCCTAAATTGAGGCTGAGTATGTCAGACTTGACAGCCCCAGGCTTGCGGTTTCCTTCCCTCTGTGTTGCTAGGAACCCCTAGAGAGAAATAAAGCATGAAGAAGCCTGTTTAATTTATGATTTTTTTTTTTTTAAAGACAGAATCTTGCTCTCTCTCCCAGGCTGGAGTGCAGTGGCGTAATCTCAGCTCACTGCACCCTCCACCTCCTGGCTTCAAGTGATTCTCTTGCCTCAGCCTCCTGAGTAGCTGGAACTCCAGGCATGCACTGCCATGCTCAACTAATTTTTGTATTTTTGGTAGAGATGGGGTTTCACCATGTTGGCCAGGCTGTTCTTGAACTCCTGACCTCAGGTGATCCACCCGCCTCGGCCTCCCAAAGTACTGGGATTACAAGTGTGAGCCACAGTGCCTGGCCAATTATGATGATATTTAAAGGCAGTTTTGATTTTACCACTGGTAAGTATTTATTGATTGCTAGGAGAAGGAATGGTAGTCAGGTTTCTTGAGGTGTTTGTGCTCATGCTGGTGTTTCCCAGTTTGAGGCCTCTGGCCTGTGTTGTTCTCATGGCTCTAGCTGATCACTCTGGTGGGTCTTGGGCCATTCATGCATTTTTCTTTCCTGCTTGCAGTGGTTGGAAACCAGACCTAACAGACAGGTGTGTCCAGTTTGCAAAGCTGGTATCAGCCGAGACAAGGTCATCCCCCTCTATGGAAGGGGCAGCACTGGGCAACAGGACCCCAGGTGAGGACTTAGGATGCCGCTCCTACCCACTTCTCTTGGACATGAATTCACTCCGATTCAACATCTCCTAACCCCACCCTTTACTTATTACTAGATGATCCCTTGGTTTTGAAGCAGTCTCATCCAGGTGAGAGTCAGCCAGGAGGGGAGGAAGGAGAGGGGATCCAAGTTACCACTTGCTGGGACCCAGCAGTGAACAGACATCACAATCACAAGTGTGCAGAGCATTGTGAAACAGTACTTCCGCCTCCTGGGAAGCAGGATGTGTGCAGGAGAGGCTCCAGGGAGTACGTTTGCCGCAGCAGTGATGTATACAAGCATGGGGGTAGAGGAAACAGGATCTGGGTGACTTTGTGGAGTTTGGGATTTATAGAAATGGAGTAGGATCCAGCATTCCACAAACAAAAGTACTGAGAGTCCTTCACGGTCTGGCATTCCCAAGCTCTCCAGAAGAATCTCTTACCTTCTCCCACCTAGCCTAGCATATGCTGTGTACCGGACATATTAGACTTCACTTAAAGGGATTTGCTCTTTCACATTTATCAGCCTATGTATTTGCTCTCTCTTCTGCCTTCTGCCCTCCCCAGTCCTGCTCAAGCTACCCTTGTACCCCCACCTTCTCCTCTAACTTCTACTCATCTCTCATAAGCAGCCCTATAGTCCCCTCCTTGAAGTGGTCTGTCTTCTCCACATTAGTTGCTCTCACCCAGTTCCCAGCAAACTGTCGTGTGATTGGTTCTATCCCCCTGAAACCATGAATACCTCAAGAGTTGGGTCTGTCATCAGTCTTAGTATTATAGCATCCTGCATAATGCTTATTGTATAACTAAGCCCTCAATTGAGTATTCATGGGTTGAGTGATCTGAGTGGCTGAGACTTGAAAATAATAGCATGGGGTATTTGCCCAAGAATAGTGGGAGATAGAGCTGAAGTTAATAGGCAAGGTCAAAGAAACGACGAACCTCAGCCCTCACTGCTGACAACCCACCCTCTACTCCAGTTTGGATTTGGGATTTCTGATATCTGTGACAGGCCCAGTATCATACAGACCCAGGGAAGGCATCTGGCCATGTTCCTAACCATCTGAGTCAGGATCTCTGTGAATGGAGTAGGCTGTAGTGCAATCTGATGAATATCTCATAACAAGCTGATTTTCTCCCTTGTTCTCTATACAGATGGGAAGAACAGTTGCAGGTAGAACGAAGAGTTAGTATTTGGAGAATTAATTTGGCATATAAGTTCATGTCCTGGGCAAGAAAGAGGCTATGGCCCTGACTCTGTTGGTGAAGAGCTCCTGGTCCTCATAGGGAGAAACTGAAAGCATTTTGTAATAGACTTATTTTACACCATTTCTGTTTCAGAGAGAAGACCCCTCCCCGTCCTCAAGGACAGAGGCCAGAGCCGGAGAATAGAGGGGTGAGAAACATTCTAGAAGCTTCTACAAATGAGCTGATGGCTTTAGAAGTTGCCTTCTTAGCCTTATCATTTTTTTCTTTGATTATAAAAGTAAAAGAAATCTTATAAAATACAGAAAGGAAAAGAGGGGGAGAAAAAAATCACAATCACACCAATCAGAGGTAACCACTGGAAAGAAACACTTTGGTTCTATTTTCTTTTCCATTTTTCTATATTTATATATACACACAAATTTTATAAATCTGTGCGTGTATTTTACAGATATGTGTATACTTTTTACAGTTTTTGTTTTTTACACTATGTGGCTCCTGTTTTGTAACCCTCTCAAAATTTCATTTGTACTTCAGATATTTAAGTGCCTTCTGTGTGCGAGTGGGAGTCTTTTAGACTTATCTTGAGATTTTACATTGCCAGCAATATTTTACTAAATAGCTGTTTAGCATTTAGTTTTGTGGATTTAACATAATTCAATCCTTTGTTAGACATTTAGCGGCTTTCTTTTTCCAATTTTAGAAATATTTTGATGAATTTATAGATAAATTTATGAGCATATTCACTATTATTTTATTAGGATAAGACAGGGTCTCACTCTGTAGCCCAGGCTGGAGTGCAGTGGCACTATCACGGTTCACTGTAGCCTCAATCTCCTGAACTCAAGCAGTCCACCTCAGCCTCCCATGTAGCTGGGACCACAGGTGCACACCACCATGCAAAGCTAATTTTTTTTATTTTTATTTTTTGGTAGAAACAAGGTCTCACTATGTTGCCCAGGTTGGTCTTTAACTCCTGGACTCAAGCAGTCCTCCTACCTCAGCCTCCCAAAGTGTTAGGATTACAGGCGTGAGCCACTGTGCCTGGCTTAGGATAAATTCTTAGAAGTAAAATTACTGGCTAAAAAAAATGTGCATGTTTATCCCTGGTGGTCTAGTGGCTAGGAACAAAAACATTGAAAATTTTTTGCATATTTACATCAAATGTTACTCTTAAAACAAATTCTGTGGGCCGGGCGCGGTGGCTCAAGCCTGTAATCCCAGGACTTTGGGAGGCCGAGGCGGGTGGATCACAAGGTCAAGAGATCAAGACCATCCTGGTCAACAAGGTGAAACCCCGTCTCTACTAAACATACAAAAATTAGCTGGGCGTGGTGGTGCACACCTGTAGTCCCAGTTACTCGGGAGGCTGAGGCAGGAGAATTGCTTGAACGCAGGAGGCGGAGGTTGCGGTGAGCCGAGATTGCGCCATTGCACTCCAGCCTGGGTAACAAGAGCAAAACTCCATCTCAAAAAAAAAAAAAAAAATTCTGTTAAAATGTTAAAGAAATTTTAAAAGCAAAATATTTACCCACATTGCCAAGAGCCTGGAACAAGTATATTCTCATTTCCTCATGTTCTCTTCATCTGTATGCTCTGTATATGTATTTTTATGTAGCCATCACCATTCTGTTTGCTTTAAAATTTAATTTTGGCAGGTTTTATGATGCTCTGAAGTATCCTCTTTATTATTTAGGCGCCATTTATCCCATTGAGGTTTTTATTTATTTATTTTTTTTTCTGTGCTCTTACTGGGAACCCATTGAGCTTTGATGCATTATAATTTGGGTTTTCCTCATCGAAGAACCTTTTAGTTGTTTCCCCATTTTGCTCTTTAAGTAATGCTACAGTAACCATCTTTATACACTCTTTAGTTTGAATAATGGCATTTCATTAGGATTCCCAGGAGTAGGATTACTGAGTCAGGGATATTGATAGAAATTAAGGTTCTTGGCTGGGCACTGTGACCCACACCTATAATCCCAGCACTTTGGGAAGCCAAGGTGGGTGAATCACCTAAGGTCAGGAGTTCCAGAGCAGCCCTGACCAATATGGTGAAACCCCGTTTCTACTAAAAATAGAAAAATTAGCCGGCTGTGGTTGTGCACACCTGTAGTCCCAGCTACTCTGGAGGCTGAGACAGGAGAATCATTTGAACCCGGGAGGTAGCGGTTTCAGTCAGCTGAAATTGCACCACTGCACTCCAGCCTGGGCTACAGAGTGAGACTCAATCTCAAAAAAAAAAGAGAGAAATTAAGTTCTCTTCTGCAGATTATCCTTAATAATAATATTAGCAGTGAACACTTGTTGAATGGCTACTATATGGAAATAACTATATGTTAAGAGCTTTATATTCTTGATCTCCTTTAAGCCTCACATCAACTCATTTAACGAAAGAGGAAACTGAGACCCAGATAGGTGAAGTGACCTGTCCAGGGCCACACATACAGTGCGGAAACCCAGATCTGGCTGGTATTGGAGTCCCCGCTTTTGACCACCAGGTGACACCACTTTAATATTCCCAGGTTTTGGTTTCCTCCAGAGCATTAGCAACTAATGCAGGAATCAGAGGCCCTTGAAAGCCAGAGGTCCTGGTCTGTATGACCGAGGAGCATACCTCTAGCATTTATAAGCACCTGCAGCTGCTAGTGATTTTTTTTTTTGGCATACTCTGCCCCAGGAACATAATCCTACCAAATGTGAGGACTGGTAAGCTCATATAGATTTTGGTAAAAGGGAAGCAGAATGATTAGTCCTCAGGAGTGCACTGAATGAATCTGGGGTTCCTGATGAAACAATTGCACCTTCCTGGGTAAGGCAGCCTCAGTCCCAGGAGCCCTTAGGTTCAACCATGAACTGAGTAGTAGGCATTTTGTATTGAGGAGATGGAAATTCATTGTTTTCCTTCCCTTTAGATTTGTCCTCTCATAAAGTCAGCTGTTAGGCTTTATAGATGGTACCATCTGCCAAGAAGTTTAGAACTAAAGGCTTCTCAGTGTGTGACAGAGAGCAGCTACTTTGTGACTTGCAAAAGATTCATAAATGAAGGCCAGTGAACTCTTTATGAAAAGCATTTGGCCCAATAATCTGTCTTCTTTTTATTCTTTTTAAAATCGTTTGTTCTAAACCTCTCACTAGGGATGCAGGGGAAGAGAATAAATATTTGAAAGATGTGCACAGTAATTAAGAGTATGAAGGCCAAGCACAGGGCTTAGGCCTCTAATCCTAGCACTTTGGGAGACCAAGGTGGGAGGATCATTGAGCCCAGGAGTTTGAGACCAGCCTGGGCAACAAAGTGAGACCCTGTCTGTACAGAAAAATTTAAAAATTAACCAGGCATAGAAGGGTGCACCTGTGATCCCAGCTACTTAAGAGGCTAACATGGGAGGATTGCTTGAGCCTGGGAGGTTGAGGCTACAGTGAGCCATGATTGCACCGTTGCACTCCAGCACTCCAATAAAAAAAAAAAAAGAAAAGAAAAGCATGTGTTTTCAGATCAAATTGACCTAGTTTTAGATCTAAACTGTACTCCTTGGTAAGTTATTTCACCTCTCCAAGCCTCAGTTTGGTCATCTGTGAAATGCAGGTGAAGCTAATGTAAAAATTAAACATGATTTGTGTGTGCCAGTGCTTAACATGGTGCCTAACACAGAGCTCATGCTTTAAAAAAAAGGAGTTATTTATTCACAATATTGTTGCTACTGAATTTTTTCATGTGAAAGATGATTCAGTGTAGAACATGCGCAGGGAAAAAAAACAGAGCGTGATACACCAAACTGCTGACAGTGGTTATTTCAGAGGTAAAGTGGAGTGGCTGTGAAGTGGGAGGGTGAATAGAAGATCTCTGACTTTCTTTGTCAATTATTTCGGTAATGTGTGAGTTTCTTATAGCAAGCATATATTACTTTTATAATCAGAAAACATTAAAGTGTTTTAAACGTAAAAATTCTGTGTAACAATATTAAAAGAAATTTTAATCCATAACTTATCCATATACCTGCATACTGTCGTGTACTTGTGACCACAGTGTCCAAACAATTTTGTCTGATAACTTGGTCACAAGACTTTTTCAGTGTTACTGCATCAGTCAGAATAATGGTTTTTTGAATGCATATATCAAGATTTTGATTATGACTTCCATTGTTGGCTAATTGGGGTTTCAACATTTTTTGCTATTAAAGGTAATGTGTAGCTTGTTTGATGTTCCCTTGGGCATGGGGGTGACTGTCAATATTGCTGATATAAAGCATGTAGAAGATATTATTAGCTAATGTGGGACTCTGGAAAATATCCTCAAACCCTAGGAGTGCTGACTTATGTCAGCAGAGTGTGTCACATTGGGTCCGAGCCACTCCTTTTTGGCCCATTCATAGATCCTAGCTGGAAACTAAGGCTAAAAGCACAGAGGGCTTGCCAGAGTTCCTCTACTTCAGGGTATATATGGGACGAAAAGCTGTCCCCCAACTTGGAAACATGTGGCACAGGGTAGGGAGGAGAGGCAGGTGCCACATGCAACGTGAGGTTTGTTGAGTTTGACAGGCACAGGAGAAACCTGCCCGATTCTCCTCCCCTTAATGGCCTTTCTTCTACCCAGGGATTTCAAGGTTTTGGATTTGGAGATGGTGGCTTCCAGATGTCTTTTGGAATTGGAGCATTTCCCTTTGGGATATTTGCCACAGCATTTAATATAAATGATGGGCGGCCTCCTCCAGGTAAGACCCTATTTCCTTGAGAAATCAGGAAAATATCTTAATAATATTGCTTGAAAACTCATTGGAATTCAGCAGTATGTAAGTTACAGATAATTGTCACTACATGGATAATCAGCCTTTTCAAAATGTCTTAAGCTGTTTTCAGATCATGTATAGTCATGGTAACAATGTTGTGTACTTACCAACTATCAGACAAATATGTATCATATAGCACTTTCCATTCCAAGTTCAGGGCATCATCACAACCACCCTGTGGAACAGGAGGTATGTGATTAGCTCCATTTAACAGATCAGAAAATGCTCAGTAATGTTACCAAGACATACTCCATATCTATAAAATGAAAAACTATAAAAAGCTGAGGAAAAGCTTAGTTCTGCACATTTGCTCCCCACTTTGACCATTTGGGGGCATGGAAATGCGAGATGACCCATAAAGAGTGAGGGCATATCCATTCCCTGGCATCTGTGTCCAGCTTCCTTCATGCCACAACGTGGGGCTGGTCATAAGCCTCAACCCTGTGGGAACCACACCGAGGTCTACCACCTGCTGCTGCATTTCTCCTTCAGCTGCTTGAGAGCAAGGCAGTGAGGTGGGTGACACTGAACTCTTGACACTTGAGCCAAGATCCATTACTGTGGAGCCTGCAGAGATGCCATGATCAGTTGAGCTCTGCCTGTACTCATTGGAACTTCATGTGTACTGGGCACAGTGTTTAGTACGGAAGTGACCATTGTGTGAGCTTATGCCCTAAAGACAGTAACCGGGTCATCCCAGTTATTCTCATCCCCACCCTGGTTTTTGGTACACAGCAGGCAATCTATAAGTCTTTCTTGCCTGCCTGTCTGCCTTCATGAATCCATCAGAGCATCCAACTGAGGAATCTCAGCACCAAGATATCTTGGGGATGCCCTTTCTTACCTTATCTACCTTGAAGAGTTATCATCTGTTCACATGTTTTTTTTCAGAGGAAGGACACACCAAAAGATATGATGTACTTTGCCCTGAAGAAAGGGCAAATCCCTGTGAAGCCAGTAAGAACCTGCCTGGTAGCTTGCATCCTTCTAACCTGGTCCAGGGCTAACCTTGGATTCCCCAGCTAAGCAGAGTTCCACAGCAAGGCTAGAGTCTGGATCACTTTATTCCCCCTGCCACAGTCACGGTTTTCCCTTGTCATGCTTGGTACAATTTGCCCATCCTAGATACAGATTCTTTTATCCTCCTTCCCCCAAAGTCAGGACAGGGAGCTCTAAATGGTAGCTTTTCTCAAAGCAGAGAAGAGTGGAGACTTAGATTCGCACCCCAGTTCTTCTGCCTCTGCCTTGAAAGACAAGTCATTTTGCCTGTGTGGATCCTAGTTCTCTCCTGGGAAAGGAAGGCAGTCCCTGCAGGGCTCTTGAGAGGCAGTGTGGAGAGGCTAGAGAACATGACTGTAGAGCTCTACCACTAACTTCTGAGCTTTCGATTTTGGACAGGTCACCTCAAACCTATGTTTCAGCTGCTTCCTACTCAAAATGGAAATAATAATATCCACCAAATAATGGATGTACAAATATGTACAAAACACTTAGCAGATAGAAGATACTTAACAAACAGTAGGCTTGCTTTCATTACTTCCTCTAAGAGTTTCCTGTTAGTCACCTGGTTTATTGGCATGTGCAGGCCAAATCTTTTATAATAAATTGGAGACCATGTCCTCATTGTTATATTGTTTCACATAGTTTCATTTTGCCTGATATTATTTGGGGTTTAGAAATCTTTTTAGTGTGTAGGATTCTGATGTTGTAAAGAGATAAAGATTGATCCTGTCAGCTTCTGGCCTAAGTGGGCAGTGTGCATAGCTGCAGTGTTCTGACAGCCTCTTTTCTCCCTCCTGTCTCTCCAGCTGTCCCTGGGACACCCCAGTATGTGGATGAGCAGTTCCTGTCACGCCTCTTCCTATTTGCGGCCCTGGTGATCATGTTCTGGCTCCTGATCGCCTAATGCTGGGCTCCTGCCTATATCCGTGGCAGGGCTCTGGACTGGTGACGTGCCATCCCCACTCCTGGTGTTTGGCTTCCTGGCTAACCTTGACTCCTAGAATCAGTGGGATCAGTAACACATCAAGGAGTCTTGTTTCTCCATCAGAGCTTTGGAACTCAAGACCAGTTGGCAATGACCCGAGTATTGCCACTGCTGTAAATACCCTATAACCTCAGGCCTAGGCCTTGAGTCCTCTCAAGGGTGACACCATGAAATCTTGTTTCATCCAGTTTAGCAGGTCCTGACTCTGCAGAGGGAAGAGGCAGAAAGAGAAACAGTCAGAGTATAATTTCACCTGAGTTTAATATTACAAAAACAAAAGGACGCACCAAATATTATTTCTGGAAACTTTCATCTCTTTAAATACCCCTTGGAAAGTTGCCTCTGAAGCCAGTGGGGGCTTCTCAAAGAGGTTCCCCTTCCAAATCCCAGTGCTGCTCTGTTCTCTTTCCTCCCCCTCCCCTTCCTCTTCCTCTTCAAAGATACAAGAAATTGCTGTCCCATAAAAATCATAATTGCAACAGCTGAAGCTGGAGTCACTTCATGAATTCACCATAGATTCAAAGATCTTTTATTGGCTCTGGGCTATGCTCAGCGTCTTTGGCCTCAGAGAGCAACTTGAATGACTTCGTGGTTTCCTGGCATGAATTATTCCTGGTGAGACATGTGGCTTCACTTACAGATTTCCTATCAGCTTTCTCCCTAAAACTATGTGCATCTGCCTCTCTCTGCCAGAGAACACACAGCCAAGACTACTGCTGAAGCTGAGACTGACTACTGTGCATAAGGAAGGACCTGGAGTCAGGACTTTGGTGGGATTTTGAGCTCCGATGCAGGAATAACTGAACAAGTAGCCCTATCCCCTAGGCTGCAGAAGCTTGAATGCATCCTCTCCCAGAACCTGCCATAGGAAACTGGGGGCTTTGTCAGGTCAGCCCAACTGCATGCAGAAGACCACCGTCCTCAGAAGCCAAGTTGTCCTTTAAGAAGAGGCAAGGAAAGGGGAAACCCACATGTGACCCTGATTTTGGTATGGCTTGATGGAGTACCCTGAAAACTTTATGTGTGCTAAAATCAGGGAAGCATGTGACTCCCAAGCAGACAACCCCTGATGATTTGTAAAGCCAGGTGGCAGGGCTTGGGGAGCCCCAGCACAGTGATAATGGTGTGGTCTTCCCTCCTGTGGAATCGAGGGGAAATTATTCTTCCCAATACTTTGATTTGATTTTCAGTTTCACAAGCTTCTTCCTCTGAACCTTATTGAGGGAATGTGGTACTAAGCAGGTAGGACAGTTCACCTGGTGGAACAGTTCTTGCCCTGCCTTCTACGCTTCATCCCAGAAGTCCAGCCTCTTTCTGGAGACCCCAAAACTCGGGGGAGATGGGCTTCCTCTGAGCCTCTTTCTTTCTTTCTTACTTTGCCATCCACACTGGGTAACACTCAGCAATGACCAACAAATGGTAGGAAGCCCCACTTAGTGCTTTTTCCCAGTTATAACTCTGCATAGTTTGTGGAAACAAAGATCTTGAAGAAGATGAGGGAAGCCCTCCCCTCTTACAGCCCCCACCCCTTCTCCTTTGTACCTGTCGACACCAGAGTTCAGTGTTTAAACAGACAAAATATAAAGTATTGAGTAGGTGGTTTATTTGCTGAATCCACTTAGGAGGAAGAAGCCACTAGCTTTATAATGTGCCTGATGGATTTTTAAACGTTCCTGGGCACCCACTCAAGAGTGCTCTTTTTATCACCTTCTGGAAATCCCCATAGTTGGAGGGGCCCCTGGAGTGTCTGCTCTAGAGAGAAGTGGTGGGACCCCTTCAGTGCAGTGGCCCTAGCTAGTGGAGGAAAAGAGGACTTCAGTCAGATGGACTCAACAGAAATGGGTTTCTAGAAGAATACTGAAGAGTTGTGGGTAGGAAAATCAATAATTTGGACTCTTCAACAAAATGGAATGAGCCCAGGAGAGCTCCACCAACAAAGGCATTCTGGGAACCTGTTACTAAAGCCAGGCTGGCCAAATGCTGTTTGATTTTGAACCTTATAGGTCCCCACTCACCCTCTGCCAGGAGCTAAGGCAGGAGAGCTGACTTGGGACTGCTGGCTTGGCCCCAACAGGGAGCCCCCTTTCTACCACCCCTCTGCAAGCTCATCACCTCATCCTTCTGCCAAGGCAGCTTTCCTTTCTTTTGTGTGTTTACTGTGTTCTTGATCCTGCCACCCTTGTGGACTAGGACCAGGTCCTGACCACAGTCAGAAAATGATGATATGTATAGTGGCACACCTTAACCAGTCAGTAATTTTCACTGTTGTGAAAGTGATTTGATTTAGAATTAAATAAATGGTTTTACATTACTGTGAGCTTGGACTTCTTGTCTGTGTCATGGAGGGTAAATGGGTGGGGAGTAGTCACACTGGTCTAGCCTCATGGAGATTCCTGTGCAACCTTGGTAATGTCACACAGAGGATGAAAGTCTTTAAAGAAGCTGAGCATGGTATGTATGCCTGTAGTCCTAGTTACTCTGGAGGATGAGGCAGGAGGATTGCTTGAGCCCAGAATTTCAAGGCTTCACTGAGCTATGATCATGCCACTGAACTCTAGCTTGGGTGACAGAATGACACTGTCTCTTAAAAAAACAAAAAAGGAAAAGACTTTAAACAGCTATCAATGATTAGAGATGAGAAATGTAGGCTGGAGGCCTGGCTTCATACACACAGCCTTGCCCAAGGTAAAACCAGTCTGATAGGCAGCCCCAGTCCTTACAAGTACGTGGCATTCCTAAGCTTGCAGGTGACAAGCTACCACAATGGTGCTTAGCTTGTGTCTGACCAGAGCCTTTAGGACAATCATAGGTTACTCACTGTCAGCATCTCTCCATCTGTTTAGTAACAGGGCAGGTGGGCTCTCAGCCAAGTCCTCTCCCTGGAGCAGTAGGTGTGTCCCTCCCTAAGGTTCCTTAGTAGCAGGGTGTAGTGTGAGGTGGAAGATGTTGCTGAAGTTAAAAATGTGGCCCAGCCTCAGGCATATGCCAGAGCTACAGGTAACTCCTCTGAAAAGAGCTTTTTTCTTCCTGATTTTGATCTAACAGTTATCAAATTGAGTAGTACCAAGATACAGTGGGGAATGCAAAGGTAAGGGAACTTCAGGAACTCATAAGCCCAATGAGAAAAGACCAGGTTTTTTTTCTTTTTTGAAAAATTTTAATCTTAGGCCAGGCATGGTAGCTCACATCTATAAACCCCAGCACTTTGTGAGGCTGAGGTGGGAAGATCGCTTAAGGCCACAAGTTTGAGAGCAGCCTGGGTAACACAGGAAGACTCTTGTTTCTACAAAAACAAAAAATATTAGCCAGGCACAGTGGTGTACGCCGTGGTCCCAGCTACCCAGGAGGCTGAGGTGAGAGGGTGAGAGGATCACCTGAGCCTGGGAGATCAAGGCTGCAGTGAGCTATGATCATGCTAGTGCATTCCAGCCAGGGCAACAGACCCTTTTAGAAACAGGGTCTTACTCGGTTGCCCTGGCTGGAGTACAGTAGTGTGAACACAGCTCACTGCAGCCTGGAACTCATAGGGTCCTCCCACCTCAGCCTCCCAAAGTGTTGTAATTACAGGTGTAAGCCACCATGCCGGCCTTAGGTTTTTGTTTTCAATGTGAAAGAAAAAAAAAAACGCAGTAGTAGAACAGGATAATGAGGCCTCCATGTATCATCACCCAACCCCAGTAACTATCAACTCAGATCCAGTCTTGTTGCATCTATACCTCCCGCACACACTGTTCTCTCCCACTGTCTGAACGATTCTGAAGCAAACTCCAATCATGTCATCTTTTCAGTATGCATCTCAAGTATTTTAAAAACAAGCAAAATAGGCTGGTCACGGTGGCACACACCTGTAATCCTAGCACTTTGGAGGCCAAGGCAGGTGGATTGCCTGAGCTCAGGAGTTCGAGACCAGCCTGAGCAACATGGTGAACCCATCTCTACTAAAATATAAAAAATTAGCCAGACGTGGCAGTGTGTACCTGTAGTCCCAGCTACTTGGGAAGCTGAAGCAGGAGAATTGTTTGAGCCTGGGAGGCAGAGGTTGCAGTGAGCATTCCACCAGAGCACTCCAGTCTGGGAGACAGAGCAAGACTCCATCTCAAAAAAAAATTTTTTTTTAAGTTTCTTAAAATCAAATATCCAGTCATTGTTCAGATTTCCCTAGTTCTCATAACTTGTGTAGTTTGCATTGAGATCCAAATTAGTTTCATACATTGCTATTATTTGTCTCTAAAATCTTTTTTTTTTTTTTTTGAGATGGAGTTTCACTTGCTGTCCAGGCTGGAGTGCAGTGGAGTGATCCTGGCTCACTGCAGCCCCCGCCTCTCAGGTTCAAGTGATTCTCGTGCTTCGGCCTCCCAAGTGGCTGGGACTACAGGTGCCCACCACCATACCTGGCTAATTTTTTGTGTTTGTAATAGAGACAGGGTTTCACCGTGTTGACCAGGCTGATCTCGAACTCCTGACCTTAGGTGATCCGTATGCCTCAGCCTTTCAAAGTGCTGGGATTACAGGCATGAGCCACCTTGCCTGGCCTGCCTCTGAAATCTTTTCTACTCTGCAGTTTATCTGCTAAAGAAACCCTGTTGCATTTACCACAGCCTCAGTTTTGCTATTTGCATCATGGAAATGTTATTAAGCTCCTCTTACCCATGGTATTTCCTGATGGTTGGTTGTTAGATCTAGAGGCTTGACCAGATTCAAGCTTATTATTTTTGTTTTGTAAGACTATGTCGTAGGCGATAGTATATACTTGGTGCATCTTATCTAAAGGCACTTAATGTCTCATAGTCCTACTTTGTGATATTATAGAAGCCATTACTGATCATTTAGAGTTAAGAAACAAGACTGCACTCTGGGCAGAGTGGGGCACAAAATTACAGAGAACATAGAGAGCTGGTTGCTGTAGGAATGGCAGATGGCACAAGGCAGGATTTGCTTAGGAAAAAGCAGAGCCCTGGAGTGAAGGGAATAGGGAGACAAGGCCACAGGGTGAGATGTAGTCAGTTCATGAGGGCTAGTTTGGCCTTTATTTTGTAGGCAGTGGGGTACTGTTGAAGGGTTTTGAACAGAGAGATGACAGGACCAAAAACATATTTTTGGAAGATTAACCAGTCCACTTTGGGTAGGATGATTCAGGGAGGGCAGAGACTGGAGGCCAGAGACTAACTCAGTTTGAAGCAAGTAGAAATACACTGGGCAAGTCTGGCTAGGTACCAGTGGACCAGTACCTTCAGCAGGCAGAACCTTGAATTTTTCAAGGTCCAGGTTTTCAGGATCCTAGGCTCCAAGAGTTGACTGTGAGGCAGCTAGCAGGATCTGGCCCTAGGGACTGACCAAGCCATGGTCAGTGAAGAAAACTGTGGACAAGTAACTTGGATGCTATTGAAACTCAGTTGGTCTACTCCCTGCCCAGGCTTTTTCTGCCCTCCAGAAGTCCCCCTTGAGTTCACAAGTGATTTCTGGAATGTTCTTTGGGTCCATATTAAAAATATATCTCTTGGCCATAGCATTTCTACAGAAAGCTATATTCCCTTCCTTTTACATTTTCAACTTGCATTTCTCAGAGTCACCTGAACTTCCCTGGGAGGAACTTGGGGGACTTGGATATCCCCCAACTCCCTGCTGGTGAAGACGATGAGGCTGGAAGTAGGAGGAAGTGGAATGTGAGAGGGAAGGAGGAGGGAGAAGAGACAGATCTGGGTGCCTCGGTGTGGAGTGGAGGGAGTAAGAAGACACCCAGGAGGTTTTAGTTCCCGGAATGCCAGTGCTTTGTTGCCTGGGGAAATACAGTGTTACATCTCTCTGTAGGAAGGATGAGGAAAGTCCCTGTCCCCTGTTTGCTAGTCATGAGGCAGCTTGTCAGGATCATCCCCTGGATTCTTGTCACTTTTTTTTTTTTTTTTTTTTGAGACAGAGTCTTGCTCTGTCGCCAGGCGCCAGCCTGGAGTGCAGTGGCACAAGCTCGGCTCACTGCAACCTCCGCCTCCCAGGTTCAAGCAATGCTCCTGTCTCAGCCTCCCAAGTAGCTCAGACTACAGGCACCTGCCACCACGTCCAGCTAATTTTTGTATTTTGTAGTAGAGATGAGGTTTCACCATGTTGGCTAGAATTGTCTCGATGTCTTGACCTCGTGATCTGCCTGCCTCGATCTCCCAAAGTGCTGGGATTACAGGCATGAGCCACCGCACCCGGCCGATTCCTGTCACTTTAAATCAATACACAATCTTGTGTTTACTATAATGATTTCCTCAGAAACTATAAAACTGACTACTGAAAATAGTTCCCAGGAATTAACGGAAGTGGGACACAGTCCTCCTTCCCAGCACTTTGTGCACACTCGGGACATGGTGAGCCACCTGCCACACCCAGAGGAGAAAAATCTGACAGACATCCGGTCTGAATTCGATGGTCAGAGCAGGAAGAAAGAGAACTGTGCTTGTCTTTGCCTTTGCTTGCCCAGCTGCTGAGACCAGAGACAACTGGGTTGAACTTTGTCCTTGGTCTGGGGTGGGGGTGGGGGACATTTCCCTGGGCCCTATCCTCTTCTTGGTCATTTGGACACTTTTCCCACAATCTAAATCTGATCTAAGGAAATGAAAATTGTGAAAGACCCAATATGAGATAATCAGATAGGCAGGTGGGTTATCAGGGATCAGCTGACCTGGCTGATGGTGTATTAATACCTTCATCACACAGAGGACCCCAAACCTAATGAGGGGAAGTGGTTCTCAAAGCTACTCAGCCAGCTAGCAGCTGCCCTAACCCAGTCAGCAGTCTTAACTATTAGTCCTGTGATCCCTCCTCCTCATAGGAGATTCTCATAGCAGGTGTGTTGTTTCATTTGGCCTACATGGCATTTTAAAAACTTTTTGATGCTATCAACATTTTTTTTTTTTTTTGAGATGGTGTCTCACTCTGTTGCCTGGCTGGAGTTCAGTGGTGTGATCTCTACTCACTGCAACCTCCACCTCCTGGGTTCAAGTGATTCTCCTGTCTCAGCCTCCTGAGTAGCTGGAACGACAGGCGCCTGCCACCACACCCACCTAATTTTTGTTTTTGGTAGAGACAGGGTTTCATCATGTTGGCCAGGATGATCCCTATCTTTTAACCTCATGATCCGCCCGCCTCAGCCTCCCAAAGAACTGAGATTACAGGCATGAGCCACCGCGCCTAGCCAGCTATCAACATTTTTTAAAGTGGCAAATTTCACATAAACACCTGGATTTTTGGCATGTTTGGAAAGGTTGAAAGACCTGGGACTGGTAGGCCCATGTTCCTGTAGGACTGCTCGTTTTTCCAGTGGGGCGCACA